CTTAATAAAATATTGCTACCGTTCGGCCTTAAACTTCGCAAATGGTGCTCCAACAACGACCAGCTCTTGCAAGGAATCCCTAAAGAGGACATTGTCAACGACGTCAAACTAGGTGAAACATTAGAGCAATACAGCGTGAAAACGCTGGGTCTCATTTGGATGCCAAAACAAGACCAACTGCGAGGACGAACCACAAAAGGCCAAGCAACACGCATCACCAAAAGGGTCGTGTGCTCAGAATTGGCCCAAATCTTTGACCCACTGGGTCTTTTGCCCGGTGATAGTCAAGGCAAAAATATTTATGCAACAGCTGTGGGAGATTAAACTCGATTGGGACGATGAACTGCCATTACAACTCCAAAACGAATGGAAGGAGTACCGGGAGGACCTACAATCATTAAACTCAATGGAGATTTTCCGGCACGTATATGATGGAAAAGTGCCAGTCACCCAGGATCTACATACCTTTGTAGACGCATCGGAACGAGCCTATGGCGCGGCAGTGTACGTACGAGCCACCTACAAAAACAATCAGGTCTCTGTACGACTATTATGCTCAAAATCTCGAGTAGCACCCACCGCCAAACAATCCCTACCACGTCTAGAACTGTGCGCTGCAGTTTTAGGTGCCGAACTCACCAATCGAGTTAGAAAGGATCTCCATATGAATCTTGACACAGTATCAGGAATCTTCTGGACTGATTCCACCGTTGTACTGTCCTGGATTAACGCATCGGCGTCCACATACCACACATTCGTGGCAAATCGAATCGCCAAAATCCAGGCATTGACGAACCAATTACAATGGCGTCATGTTTCATCAGCCAACAACGCAGCAGATGTCCTTTCAAGAGGAATCTTAGCAAGCAAGCTAAGGGATCATAGTCTATGGCTATACGGACCATTATTCTTGCACGGATCAGAAGATAAATGGACAAAACCACCCATCATTGAGCCCAGCAATCTCGAGAGAAAGGCTAAGCATGTCAGCTTGCCAATCGCATCTAGCTCTCTCGGAGAAGAGTTATACACATGCAGACATAGCAACTCGTTCAACAAACTACAACGTATTGTAGCGTACATGTTTCGCTTCTGCTACAAAACTAATAGAGCACCTACAACGACACTTTGCGCAGGAGAACTAAGGCGTGCTCGCACTATGATCCTACGAACGATTCAACAAGTTGAGTTCACAGCGGATTTAAAACAATTAAAACGCTATAAAACATTGGATAAAAAGAGTTCGATCATTTCGTTATCTCCCTTACTAGGAGATGATGAGCTCATCCGAGTTGGCGGAAGACTCGAAGAAGCTCAAATTCCGTTCAATGCAAAACATCCAATCCTGCTACCGTACAACGACCCAATAGTCAAAATGATTATGCGTGAGCTTCATGAGGAAAATCTGCATTGCGGTGCCCAAGCATTAAGGGCAATCGCAAGACAACAATATTGGATTATCAACGACAAGACGATGGCTAGAAGCATCATACATAGCTGTATGAGATGCACCAGAGCCAGACCAAAGCTGATGCACCAGATCATGGGCAATCTTCCAGCACAAAGAGTCACGCAAGCACGCCCATTCCTTAATGCAGGCGTTGACTACTGTGGACCAATTATGATCCACCATAAAATCCGAGGAAAACGGCCAGATAAGGCATACATTGCCGTATTCTGCTGCTTCTCCACAAAGGCTGTACATCTGGAGTTAGTAAGTGACTTAACCACAGATGCATTCTTGGCAGCACTCCGGCGATTCCTTAGCAGACGCGGGAAGTGTCAGACTATTCATTGCGACAACGCAACAAATTTCGTCGGCGCAAATAACAAGCTAAAGGAATTGAAAGAAGCAATATTTAGCGAAAAGGCACATGCTCTGATCACAAATCATTGCAACAAAAAACAAGTGGATTTTAAATTCATTCCTCCTCGGGCCCCATCGTTTGGCGGCCTCTGGGAAGCTGCGGTAAAATCAGCGAAAAGGCTGTTAGTTACAACCACAGAAACAGCATCCTTGACGTTTGAGGAGCTGAACACAGTCATAATCGAAATTGAAGCAATTCTGAACTCCCGACCCATAACTCCAATGTCAAATGATCCAACGGATACAAGTGCGCTTACTCCAGGGCATTTCCTGATCGGTGAACCTTTGACCGCAGCACCTGACGTCAACACCGATCGTCAAGAGAAAACTCTGGTTAAGCGCTGGGAATTGGTTTCACGCTTAAAGCATGCATTTTGGAAACAATGGTCTACGGAATACCTCCACGAACTACAAACTCGCCATAAATGGAAAACCACCGCTCCAAACGTGACCGAAGGATTATTAGTTTTGGTGAAGGAAGACAACCTTCCAGTAATGAAATGGCCAATGGGTCGCATCATCAAAACTTATCCTGGGCAAGACAACCATGTACGAGTGGTTGATGTCAAAACATCGTCCGGCGTATACAAACGCCCCATCAGTCGTCTCGCCCCATTATTCTCAGAGGAGGTAGCAACAAAACGCTCCAAAAATGCTATTCAAGACATTGCGGAAATAAAGGAGCCACCAACACAGCGAAAAAGGTTATCATTACCTACACTAACATCCACATTGGTAGTGTTACTTCTCATGCTGCCATTAGCATGTTCACAATCAATAAATGTGACGCAATTTGCAAACAAGCCCGGAATATTCTATGAGAAACTTGGAACCTCAAGAATGACCACTTCCGAATGGACCATGATTGTATACTACGACTTGGATCCATATTGGAAGGATATGCAAGTCATGTCAGCCGGAATGTCCGAACTAAGACACATGTGCCCTGAACTAAAAAATGTTCCAGCGTGCAACTCCATATTTCAACACTTTCAACATTTGTACAAAGAACTACAAACAGGAAATATGCTAATGAAGGCCTCTCGACAACGCAGATCACCGCTGGATATAGTAGGAAACGTGGCACACCAGCTATTCGGTGTACTTGACTCTACATATGCTGAGAAAATGGCTAAAGTAATCGAAAAGGTACAAACCAACGAAGACTTTCTGCTACATCTACTACGAAATCAAACGTCAATTGTCGACTCCACAATGAACGTGATCAGGAAGGATAAGTCAGCCATGGACAACCGCCTAAAGGTATTGGAACAACAAGTGGCAACCATCAGCAGAGAAAGAGGAACATATCATGGCGATCATCTAATTCAGTCATACCTAGGGCTCACAGCACAACTAACTCTGCTGACAACGAGTCTTCAACGTATGCAGTCTGACATATCTGATGTATTAATCGGCATTCACCATCGGACAATAAGCCCAACGCTAGTATCTCCTGAGCAATTAAGAGAGCAACTAGACCAAATCCGGGATCACTTGCCAGCTGATCAAATGTTGCCTGTCACAACACAAAATGTGATACAATTATACAGGCTAATGCGCGCTGAAGGAACACTGACTACCACACACGTCATTTTCAAGGTGACACTACCGTTAGTTTCAACATTTCAGCTCGAAGTTTTCAGTATCATGCCGATTCCGGTCTGGGACTCAACAAGTTGGAGCTTGTTCAATCTCAAAACAACCATAATCACTGTAAACACTCACCGAGATCAATTCATGGGATTTACTCCAGAAGAATTTCGACGCTGCTTTAAACTACTCAACGCAGAATACATCTGCTTTGATCATCAAACAGTCTTCAATGTCGACAATCGCTGTGAGTTTCAGCTGTTTAACAATAAAACAGCACCTTTATGTGAAGTGACCCACACGAAGGCGGACATGGTGTGGTCCAAAACTCAGCAAGCAAATAAATGGATTTTTGCAACACACTCTACAATGAGACTTCAGGCAGTTTGCAACGGGTCTCCATCAACCATACAACTAGAAGGAACTGGCTTGCTCTCACTGTCACCTGGATGCACTGCTCGCAATACAGAAATAAGCATCAGTACCTTCAGCACAACAATCAGTGAAGTCAAATCAGCCTACACTCGATTTGGGGACATACGCTACCAACGACACCCCCTTCGCCAGCAACTGCACAATTGGAGAACCAGACATCAGACTATCTTCAAGAATTGGAAGATTTACGCCTGCAATTAGTGGCAATCAATCAACAAAGGCTGCCACACCATCTCAACACAGTGCAGCATCATCAAATCGCTACTTATGCTGCCCTAGCAATATCAATGCTATTGATTATTGCGTTCATTCTCCGGAAGAAGTATCGATCATGGAACCCAAGGCCGTCAACAATCAACCAAACAGAGCCACGCGGATCATCACCGCCCATTCCACGCCGCTTTTCAGTCGACTTGGGCGATGGTTGAACACCAGTTCAACGGCCGGGAGAATGTTCAGTCGCATATTTATGCAGTAATTAATATTACATAATATACACTTATCGAATAAGTCAGGTCGACCCATGTAACGGGAGACATAATAACAAACGACAAGGCATTGTAGCTGAGTCAAAAATAACCGCTTCTGCAGCAATTTCTGCCAACGATGCGATCGCTCGTCAGAGGGCAAAACACTGGTGCAATTGCTGACTATCACAATTGCCCAATAACACAATATCATATTAAATCCAAATTAATTCAATATTAATTCCAATTCCCTTTTACCATATTCTTACTAGACTCAGCACTTTCTGTACCTTTTGTTACCTATAAATAGAAATTAAGTTTGTTGAATAAAATCAGTATCAGAAACAGTACCATCACTGCCTGTTCACTCATTCTCTACAACTGCAATCAACAGAGGCTGTCGCCGTGTCTTCAGACCCTCATTTGCTCGACGTAGGAATCCCTCTCCGCAGTCCAACTGGTTCAAGTTCTAGTTGCGACGACAAATTTGTAGACGGTTTATGTACCGTATGCATACCAAAACACACACACAATCACACATTAACAAAGGCAAATTTATAGCAGTTTTATGGCAAATGTTTTTTGTAATTGTAAAATTTAAGTGGTGATGTATCATTTTATTATAATTATTCAATAAAAAAAAAAACAAAATTCACAGGGCTTAAACATGTCTTCAGATAAATGAACAGCAAATAAAATTACAAATAGTCAATACAATTCTCGTGCATTCTCTTTGGCAGCATTCGCTTGTGCGCCTCGAGTCGATCTTGACGATGAGCGCTCTGTTAAGTGTACAGAATGTTTAGTTTGGTGGATAACATAATTTTATTTCAGTATAGGTTTGATATGTACAACGTCTAACCAAATGCATTGATTCCAAAACATTTTTTGAACTTTTCAGGTTTAAGCATCTGTGGCTCTAATTCCATTCGCTTCTGGACCAAACGACATTGGCACGGAGCACCTCTGCGATGGACGACAGCAGGGCAGTGTCCTGGGGGAAGGCCTCAGTGAAGCTATCGGCCACCTCGCGGATGACCATCAGCGTCTCACAGTACAGATTGCATCCCTGCTTGTCAAACAGATCGACATCCGCCCCATCCTCCCCCAAGGCGCCATGCTCCGGGCTGGGTGTCTCCTGTGCCATCAGCAGGAACGGCTCGATAATGATACTAAATAGGCGCAACAAAAAGCCATTATCCTTGCCGTATTTTTCCAGGCTGTCAATGAAATTTTTGAGGAACTTTTTAAGCACTACATTTGCGAGAATCTTCTTGGGCTCCGGCTTCGGGTGCACCCTATCCCAATCCATCTGGTCGGCCATCACGGCCGCATCGTTGCGCAATCCCTCGTCATCGTCCACCAGCAGAAGGAGCACCAGACGGGCAAAACGCCCGAGCGTCTCCAAATCGCCGAGGAAGAGCTGCCGTGAGATTTCGATGCCAATACGCTCGCACAGACCGATGGCCTTGTGCCGCAAATAGACTGGCTGTGTGGCATAGCACAGAATCTGTGCATACTCCAGCAGGGGTATCCAGATGGGCTGCGACAGCTCCTCCTGGCGGTCCATCAGGCGCTTGATGGCCAGCACCAGGCCAAAGTGAACGTGAGCGGCGTTGTTCTCGAGCGCAAACTCCAGTAGTCGTTCCAAGTCGATGGCGGGATTAAGGGGAATCAGCAGTTGCAGTATCCCAATGCGGCCGGCCAGCTGCAGGCTCCAGCAGTTGGGTGGGCCCTGCTGGCCCCAGACGTACATACGGCGGAGGCAGGTGTGCACCGACGGGGACGAGGCGATGCCACGGCCCAGCTCATGCCGCTGGTCGGGTGTGAGGGCCTTGTGGTAGCGCACAATGTCGCTGGAAAAGCTCAAAACCTTCACGTCGCCGGCATTGACCAGATCGATATGAAGCGGCGGCAGATCCTGCAGGGCCACGTACAGCAACAGCTCACCCTTCAACTCCTCGATCGCCATGGGCATTGGGCCGCTGAATTTGCACAGATCCGTGACAATGTGCTTAATGGCGGACCCCGGAAGGTGCTCCAGTCGGTGCAGATGGAGCCCAAAGATCTGAAAGATCTTCGGCGAGAGGCGATCCCTCTGGCAAGCCTCATAGATGCGAACAGGCGACAGCTCGTACACGCGCCGCAGCTCGACCATTACACTCTCCTCCACCTGTCCATGCGCCACATCCTCGAGTATGGCCACCAGCACCTCCAGCATGCCGTTGAACAGAAAGAGGCTCCTGTCGAGCAGATCAATTGTCACTTTTGATAATGTCTTCAGCATCATTCGGTTCAGATTCGGGCGGCTCCAGCGCAGGCGTCGGTACAGCTCCAACAGCAGCCGCTCCTGGCCATGGATACGATTGTGGCTCACCATTGGACCATCATCAGCATCCTCTTGGGAGGGCGGTGCCTGCGAATTGGAGTGGAAGAGGAACGGATAGAAAATGGAAAGAAAATAATGGCAAGCCTCAACAAAGTATAGAGATGGAGAGTAGAAGATAAAAGATGTGTAGAATGAACAGAAGAAATACCTAAAGAAAAATAAGGGCCGGGATTAAGTATAGGAATATCTGACCGAATAGAGGATTTCTCCTTGCGCGAAATATTACTTTAGGGTAGTTAGGAGCAAGTAGTTCTTGATACCAAATGATCCTTTATCGATATATACATAAATTTTTATCGATCTAGAGTCTAGACAATAAATAGCTGCAGGAGAAATCAGTTCAAAATGAAGAAATTATCCAGAGTATTATAAAACGATATGTATCGAACTAGTCGATTGATTACACCGAGAAAAATCAGTGCCAAGCATCAACGATTATTTATCAATATTTATCGATGGACGATAAATGGTTTAAACATGGAGAAATTATCAAGGATCAATGTTTATGGCTTTAATCGATGTATAACACCAAGAAAAATAGATTAGAGATGATGGAATTATCAATGATTAATTTTCGATATTTATCGCTGAAAATTATCCCAAAAGGGGGAGTTGCAATGGAAATCTGTTGAAATGCTTGTGAAATCAGTTATCATAATAGATATATGAGCAGGCGGAAGTAGATGCCAGAACATGGATAGCAAAATATATATCGGGTGTTGTATCTGAGGATGAACAAGTGCCCTCCCAAAAGAACCCCAAAAGGGCAACACTCACGTTCAATCGTTCATGCAGCACCAACATTTGATCAAGGATGCGCCTTGTCCGGACCAAAGCATCCTGATCGTCCACGAAATTGCCAACCACCGACGCGGCCTTCTCGCGGGTCAACACATCCGCACAGAGGCTGATCTTCAGCAGATCTGGCACAAAATTGCTGAGCTGCAAAGAGCGAAAGGTTACAGTCAGTGGAGGGAGGAGCAGACATCGATCGATTGGGCCTCACCTTCAGTGTGGACTCGGCTCCCTCCATCGACGAGGGATAGAGGCGACTGAGCAGCATCAGCATGCTCTGCAAATGAATCTTCTGAGCGCCATGCAGCGGCCTGGGCCCTTGTGCAGCCCTGGCCAGGCCCTGGCTAAAGTAGTTGTACAACTCCGGATAGCGCGTGAAGAAAATGCGTCCCGTCATCCGATTGCGTACATGCAGCTCGCCAGAGTCATCGCGCGGCCGCTCCACACCGAACACGCGGACGACGAGCGTCGCCAGCAGCAGGCTGGCGCTATTCTGCTCCGCCCAGTCGGTGGCCAGCAGACCATTCAGCGTGCAAACGATGCCGCGTGCCACAAACTCACCCACCAGATCGGCCAGCTCGCTGCTCCGGAATAGGGCACGCATTATGTTGAGCGCATGGCAGTGGGCAGCGCCGGCAGACGCTTCAGCGCCAGCTTGGGGGGCATCACTATCCGCCGGTGGCGACTCGCACACCTTCAGCAGCCGGATCATGCAACGATGCAGCGTGTTGTGGGTGCCCAGCTTCAACTCCGAGCAGACGAGCGCCTGCAGCATGTAGGGTATGCCGGCACTGCGACGCGTGGGACACAAACGAGACTGCGACGATGCGAGGGACTGCTGCTGCTGCTTTCCCTCGATCATATCGAGTGCCTCGTTCACCCAAGCGGTGGGCAATTGATTGAGCGCGGCCGCATCGCTGTGCCAGAAGCGGCGGCAGAGCATGCTGAAGCCCACATAGGCCTGCTCGAAGGCACCACGATGCTTAATCTCGGCCAGCAGCAAAAGGAAGTGATCTCCAATGGCCGTTAGCTGACTGGCGCTCAGCAGATATGTGGCATCGTCCTTCTGCTGCTGCTGCTGCTGCCTGCTGGTGCTCCTGCTCGAGGGGCGAGCGCTCCACTAGACCGCCCAGTATGTTGGATACCTCCTTGATGCTGCGCCAAGCACAGAGTAACACCATCTGCGGTGTGGTGCGTATCTGACGCAACGCCTCAGCATCCAGACGCCGCCTTAGGACATTGGCCACCTCTTGGTCCGTCTCCTGGTCACTGGTCTCCGGCAAGTAGCCCTCGGGCGCCACACTGCTCACAACGGGCAGCACCACCTCGCTAATGGCCATGCAGACGTCGACCAGCTCCTGCACATACTGCCGCCAGAGGGGCTCCCTGGCCAGCTCCTGCATGGCAAGCAGCTCGATGAGATGGCGACTGGCCAGTAGCAGGCCGTACATCGGACTCAATTTGGCGGCCTCTGCGAGATTTGTGGTGGCCAGAGCCAGAGCCTCGCGCAACGGTTGCAGGCACCACTGCAGCGCTGCATAGATCCGCGGCTGATAGCGCACTGCATCGGCTGGGCACGGCACCAGCTGCGTCTCCACCTGTTTGGCCTGGCAGTGCACCTGCAGCAGATAGGCACCCGTGAGCGAATCGGGCGGCCGCAGCGACACCAGCAGCTCCATCACAGTGTCCGGTTGGATGCGTGTGCATGGCTGCAGCTTGATCAGCAGCTCGGCAGCCACCAGTTTGTTGTGCTCGTAGCTGTCCCAGAGGCATGACTCGACGCATGCCGCCTGATTGGCGGTCAGTATATCCTCCATGGGTATGTCCAGGCGGCTGCACATGACCGCACAGCTTTGTAGAAGACGCAGCGAGAGCCAACGTCGTCCATAGTTGGCCGAATGAAAGAGATTGTCGGCCAGCAGGGCCATGAAACCGCGCAGATAGTCCATTTGGTCGGCACCAGTGGCGGTGGGACGCTTCCTGTGCTCCGCCAGGCAGAGTTCGATGCGTCGTATGACCTTCAGCATGTGGCCAAAGCCCAGCTGGCGTATGTGCGCACTGGGATTGTTGATGTTGTGCTTCAGATAGTAGCCAATAATGGCACGCTCCTCGACGCTGACCGGCTGGCTGGGCAGTGCGGCGGCGCCCACAAAGCGCAAGGTAAGCAGCCGCAGGTGATCGTCCTGCCCCACCACAGCGTCTCGTAGCATCTGGCTGTGCTTCACGAGCAGGTACTGCCGCATTTCATTTGACTCGTCGTTGCGTGCGCTCAGTATGGCCGTCAGGATGGTGCTAAAGGGTATGGCCGTGTCGTTTTGCAGCCAAATGTGACGCAATGCCTGCGGCTCCTCTTTGACGGCCTGCGTGATCAGCCCCTCGATGGCTGACAGTCGCTTATTTTGGTTCTGTGTGGCCCTCAGCAGCAGGTTCAACCATTGCTGGCACCAATCCTCGAAGGTCTGCTCTTTGCGCGATGCCACCATCATGGCTGTGTGGAAGAGAGAGAGAGAGAGAGAGAGAGAGAAACGTAAGCGGAGCTCTGCGGGTTTGAGAAATTGGGATTGTTTGGGACTCTCACCTTTAAAGAGCGAATCGACGGCATCATCCACGCCCAAATACTCGGGAAACACACGTCCAAAAAGGCTGGGACAGTGCCTGATAGCCTCGCGTGCCCCCTGAACGCTGACAAGTTTCTCCATTGCCAGACAGCCAGCAAGCAGGCTGCCGCTGCTGGTGCTGCTGCTGCCCTCCTCGAAACGTAGATAGACCGCTTGAAATAGCCCCAGCAGACCGCAGGCCTGGCCATGCTGCAGTATCTGCATGAAGATGCCACCGCACATATGACGCACCGAGTCCGTGCCACTGCAAATGTTGGCCAAAGCGAAACGCTGCAACGCATAGAGGATGCGCTCGTAGCCCTGACGCTGAGGCGGCGGCCCAGCGAGTAGATGCGGCACCGGCAGGCCCAGACTCTTGGAATAGGCATGCAAATGCTTGGCCATGTAAACGAGAACATTGTTGAGGCTGCCCTCGTGGCTGGTGAGCTCCATCAGGCGATCCACAATGTCCGCTGCCTGGCTGCCATATCGCTGATAATCGTCGGGCAGCAGAACATTCAGAGCAGCCGCCTGTATGGGCAGGCACTCGATGGGCATCGCCTGCGACGACTCGTCCAGATAAGCCTCCAAACGATCAAAGAATCGGGCATTCTTGCCAATCACTAGGCCAGCGATCGAGCGCACATCCCACGGTGTATCCCTGTGACGGGCCACCTCCTCGGCCACCAACTGAACCGATCGCAGGTGCACACGCACACCGCTCTCCAGCCGGTCGCCCCACTCGGACAGCACACCCACATGGAAGCGCAGCACATTCTGCACAAACAGATACAGTTCGTTGAGCCGCGTGGGTGACAGCTCCAGGGCGCTGCTATTGCTACAGGGGCAGAGCGGAGCAGAGGGCGCGCGATTCGTTTTGATTGAGGCTAAAACTAAAGCCGCATCCTGGGCACTCACCTGATGTCCAGCCAATAGCGTTCGAGGGCGCTACCTAGGAGCGGCAAAAAGACATCAAGCTCATGGCCCAGAGCCTCCCGGCCATACGGGAAATTCTGCAGACACGCATTGGTCGACACAAACACATCGTTCACCTGGTCGTGGGTCAGCGGGGTATCTGTGCTGGTGCTGGCAACTGTGGCCGCCAATTCGCGCAGAGCCGCACGCAGTGCGGCCAGCAGCTGTGGCTTGGTGTGCTGTGGCTGGCCCAGCTGCTTGGCCAGAGCCTGGTCGGAGAAGAGCCTGCCAGGGGGGAAAAGGGGGGGGGGGAATAAGTGTCACGGTTGTTCCTGTTTCCTAGTGGGTTTGCTTCGTACTTGATCAGCTGATTGCGCACCGAGTGCTTGAGGGGACTGGCAAAGAGCACACTGGCCAGAAACTGTTCCACCGCCAGACGACGTTGCTCCTGATCCTGATCCTCACCGTCACCGTGCCCAGCCTGGGTCTGCTGCTCGTGCAGTGCATGGAAACAGCCGCGGATGACGCTCACCTGCTCCGCACTGGTGCTGGCCGTGGCAAACTGCTGCACAAAGCTATGGGGCGCTGGAACAAATCGAAATTCCATCATGTGGCGGAAATGGAGTCGCTTGATGTGGCGATGGCGGCGGCGGCTTCAGCGCTGTCACTACTCACATCCCGTCCACTTGTTGGGCACCGGCACGAGGGCGTCGCGCAGCTCCGCGAAACGCTTGGGATGGGCGCACAGCTTGATTGCTGTTACCCGTAAATTTAAATCGTTCATTGTGCGCGCACACCTTTAATACAAAACACAATGAAGAGGACGAATGCGAATGCGAGATGCGAAGCGAACCATAGAACCACCGCAAAAATTGAATCAAATTTTTGTGGGTTTCCAAAACAAACTGTCTCGTGGCCAGGGTGATCCTTGTACCCCAGAAATATACCGTAAATATACCGAGTCAAAAAATAACTTAACCCGCTGAAGCCCCCTCTATTTAAGCTGCTTGTATAAACTTCTTGTAGATTTATCCTTCCCATTTACTTACAAAATAAATACTACCACAATATCTTTCACCTGAAATGCGTAAAAAATGTTTCAAGTTTCAAAATATTCGTGTGTAAATCGAAATACCCACTGGTCGACAATGGGCTAATCGTTCTCTCTTCATATTCGGAAATCATATTTCTCGATTTTTATATTTGGCATACTATTGCTAGCTAGCTATGACTCTCAGCACAGAACATATAATTTAATGCACTTTATGAATCAATTTTCCACGGGATTGGACTCCTTTTTATTGGATTGCTTATAACGTTAGGCTTACACGCAGCACCCGCCCAGCGTTTAAATTTGTTGTGTGTTTTTTTTTGCCAGAAACACCCGATGTTTTCCAAGTGACAAAAATACCAAAAATATACCAAACTAACCGTTACAGTGAAAAGTGCTGCCAAACAAATCCAATGGAGTGCAGCATTTTTACCCTTCCTCCAACGATACCGTGACAAAGGGTAGCGAGGGTAGGGAGTAAATGGATTAAAGGATGTTATCAGCCAACCGATGATGACAGAGTTATTGACGTCAACGGAAAGTAAACTTTAAAAAGAGCAACGTGAAATGGGAAAGAAAGACGCCACAAGCGACAGCAGCGCGTGACTGAAGTCTGGACTGACGTCAAACGGCACATGTCGGCGCGTGATCAACCGGGAGAGTTACGTCCTGGATGCAACGAGGCGTTAAGGACAATATTCAGGCATTGATAAAGATTAAAGTCTTAAAGTGTTAGAGTAAATAAATGTTTGTTTTGTTTTTAACTTTATTGAATCCGATTACTTAACTACTTTCGGAAATAACAATTTTGGGGGGGTGGTATGCGGGGTAAATGGATAAAGGAAATACCAGACTACATGAAGGACTTATCATTGGAATTTCCATTGGAGGCAGCAAACTGCACCAAAGCTTTGATGCGACGCAACAGTGAACCATTGAAGCCCTTGCACTTAACCGTATGCTCTTCACTGGCGGCGATCAGCTCCGAGCAGAAGGTCTCGTTAAATGTGGAGATGAGATGCTGCTTCAGTTGCAGTATCTCATCTGGTGTGGCATGCAGCACGGATACGTTGCCGCTGAAACTGTCCAGATTGCTCTCGTTGATGGCACTGCGATTCTCGCTGGCAAAGATCACCGCATTGCGCATATAAAAGTCCAAATGGATCCACAGCAAATACAGATTCTGTTCGGCTATAAAAACGGCCTGCATCAGTTCGTTGCGCTTCTCGCTGTGCCGCTGGCTCAGCTCCACGTAGCTTTCTTTACCTGCAACGAAAAGAAGATAGCCAAAATGATTGTGAATGAGCTCTGTGTACGTGTCTTTTGGCAGTGTCATGCACACGCAATGTATGTTGTTTCTATACCATACTCAAGCATGCTGTATTCGGTATTCTTGTGGATCGCGAGCCTTGAGACACTTACCGCTGGGACCGAAGCAAATGTTTGGCAGCGAGGAGCGCTGCTGCAGCAGATTGTCGGCATGGGACTTCTGCGAAAGATAGTAGCCCACGGAGCCCTTTAGCTGATCGATGATTGTGTGGATAATGGCCGTCAGCTTCTTGCCATCTGTCTTGCCAGTGCTACAATAAAGAGAATAACAGTAAGAGAACAGTATTCGGACAATAGCCAAACGCCCTTACAGTGGTGTCACATCATTGACAATGGTCGTGAGGAGAAACTTGGAGGTGGTGCTGTCCCGTACATGGCTGGTCACGGCATGGCGGCAGTAGAGCGACAGATTGGCGGCAATGTCCAAAAAATACTTGATATGACGACTCTTCTGGCTCTCGGGCAGTGACTCCACATGCGGCTGCTTCAGTATCTGCCGGATGGTGGCCTCGGTCACCGTGAAACGACTAAAGACAACGATCATCAGCTGCTGCAGGCGATTCAGTCGATTATACAACTCCAGATCGCGCTCCACGTCCTGGCAATTGTCCATATCGGTGCACAGTTCGGGCGTGGTGGTGCGTGAAAAGAGATTTGTGATCGATGCCAGCTGCTGCAGGTGCCCCAGATCCATCAGTGGCGTGGCCGTGCGCAACATCGTCTCCACCATTTCGATGTGGGCAAACAGAAAGTTGAGCACTTGCAGGGCCGCCGAATTGTTCTGCGAGCCCAGGGAGCTGACAATGCCATCGCAAAGGACCAGCGCCGGCTGCAGTATGGCATGGAAACGCTCGAAAGTGTCCGGCAGAAAGCCGTCCGGCTGCGTTCGCAACTGGTTGGCCTTCAGGTCCGGCTGCAGGTCGAACACCCGCATATTGGACAGGACGCCCAGTGTTCCCTCGGCGAGCATCATGCGGGCGCCCGGCTGTGTCTGCGACAGACGCGTGAAGAAGGCCAATCGTGCCTCGTACACGTACAACGGACGCAGGTGCTCCGGCACCGGCTGCAGTATGGCGCTCAGCGCCTCATCCGAATCGGCCACGCTGTCCAAAAGATGCTTCAGGTAGCCGCGCGACACCACAAATTCGGTGAGCGTGCTCACCGCATCCAGTTCGGAGATCATCTCCAGGCAGGCCAGCGCCAGCATGCGGCATACATCGTGTCCGGTCACCGCATCGTGGCAGATCGAATCGATCAGCTTCTCGCCGTACACCCCAATCACCTCCGAGGCCATCTCCTTGAGCCGATCCCTATTCTCGTGCCGCTGATCAAATGCCGTCTGTGTGGTGCTCTCCAGGCGTGTGGCAACGCTGCGGGGAAAGAATGAAAGAAAAATAAAACTTAAATTGAGGCTAAAAATAAAACTGGGGCCGGCGGGGCGGCTTACCTTTCATGAAAGTCCACCTCCTCGTCGGTGCGCAGACGCTTCACGATCCGCAGGCAATTGAGCAGCGCCGTATAGAGATTGATGCGCAGCTTCTGTGACTTGACACCGCTCACCATTATCCACTCGACAATGCGTTTCAGGATGAAGCGTAGATTGCTCGTGCTGCCCGTCAGCAAGCCACTGATTCTCCACTGTGAAAGCGTATCGCTGGCATTGTTGTTGTTGCTGTTGCTGCTGTTGAGTGCCCCTGTGGCACCTGGGGTAGCGGCAGCAGCAGGGCCAACATTTTGTATGATGGTCGCATCGGTGTCGTCGCTTTGACGCTGATCCTCCAACTGGTAATAGCAGATGCGCAGGTTGGCCAACAGCAGCAGAATCGTTTCGGTGATCTGTATGGAGATCTCGATGAGCGGCTGCACGGGCTCCACCTTGAGCAGCATCTTCTCGATAATATCAATGATGTACTGACGCCTCAATGCCGGCGGCATCAGTGCCTCGGGCATGCTGCTGAACAGTATCTGCACCAGCTGGCACCACGCATCCACAAACTTGAGCGTGGCCATGCGCTGTGTCCGCACACGGTTCACCTCGACGGCATACTGCAGCAGCAGGGTGATCTCTCCGCTGATCGCCTTGCGCTGTCCGGTGGCAATGGTGCTCTGCACCGTGCGCAATTCATCGTGCAGAATGTCATGAAGTTTGCGGATATTTATCATCATGTGTGAGCCAGTTCCAGCGGCATTGGCACTGCCTGGACTCGGTCTGGGGCGGGATTCGCATTCCTTGAGCAGCGTTGTCATCAGCGCCGTATCAAAGAACTGCAACTGCGGCTGTTGGGTTGCTGTAGCCTCCTCCAGCACTAGACATTCGAGCAAACGATTCGCATGCAATCCTTGGGTCTTATCGGGCATGACGGGCATCTTAATCGCCGCCGTAGCGGTGCCCACATCCATGCCATAAAAGCTTGCGGAGGCTGTGCCACTCAGTATGCTGTTGGTGAGGTCCTGCGGCATGCCAGGATTCGTACGCTGCCCCTCCGACTGGCCGCCCAGCAGCAGTATGTCGCACAACAGATTATAGCGCGTCGTTTGGCCATGATTGGCCGCCAGGCGCACCTCAACGGCCACACAGTTGAGCAAATGGCTCATGGCATGCATCATATGATCCTCGCGATGCCGTCGAAATGGCATGGCGCTGAGATGTCGCAGCAGAAAGTCATTGCAGGTCAAGCGAAAGAAGCGTAGAATGGTTTCCGAGGTGCGTCGATTGGCGCACAGGCCATGGAACAACTGATAGATGCTCTCCACCAGATGGGCCGTATGTGGGCAGTATTCCTCCTGGCTATGCCGTTGACTCTATACGGATTAGAAGGAGACAGCGAGAGTGAGTGAGTGAGTGAGAACCCACCCAAAGGTAGAAAGAGATAAGAGACGGGTACAAACCTCTAGATATTTCTCTAGGACCAAAACCAACGAATGCACACAACAGCACTGCACTTCGATGCCAATCTGTTGCTTATCCCTGGCCATAAAATCCCGCAGGACATCGATGCCCAACAGGAAGTAAACAAAATTTGGCGGCGCCTGACAAATATTGAGGCCAAATAGCTGTACCACAGCCTCCTTGATCTGCAGATCAATGCTGACGGGTATTTTGTCGTTGAGGGCCACCACCTCGTAGCAGGGGCCCAGTGTCATGTCGCCACCATCATCGAGCGTGGCCTCCGCCTCCGATTCATTGTCCTCGACGCTCACACTCGGTGGCTGTTGTCCGCCATGATTGAGTACATCGCCCATGGCCTGATAATCATTGAGTACAATCGCATCGAGCAGCTCCTCGTTCTGTTGGGCCAAACGGGCATCCATTTCCAGGCACTCGACAAATCCCTGACGCACTTCGAGCCGCTCGTGGCTGCCCAGGGCGTACATATTGAGGATTTGTGAGGCGACATTTGGCAGCATGGTCACCGCACTCAGTATCTTGATGGCCGCCAGCGAGTGGCGGGGCAGCCAGTTGTTGTAGGTGACAAATTTGATGATTTTTAGCACATAATCGGGCCGTCGGGTGCGCGGATTAAAGTCCAATAGCATACGATTCAGTCCCGATAGCAAAATGGGACTATTTGCCGATGAATGGGCCTCGAAGAAGGCATTCTGTTTGGCCACCGCCACCTCGAGCAGCAGGAGGGCATACAGGGCGCATTCCTCCAGCTGTTCCTTGCCCCGAAAGCGCCTGTACTCGTCCAGCCGTTCGCGCGCATCCTCAATGATGCGCAACAGCAGCCGCACCAGATCCGATTTCACTTGCAGCTGCAGCATCACATGATAGCCCGGATACGGATGCTCGTCACGCAATTCCATAAAATCGGTCGCCTTCGGTCGGTATGTGGCCAGCAGATAGAACAAAAGTTTCAATCCCTTGGCGCCCACCTCCCACATTTCGCTGGCATCCTTGTACGAACGATTGTAGAACTTGAGGAGTATACCGTTCATCAGGAAATTCAGATACGGATCATAGCCCGGCTGGCGTGCGCCAGCGCCCAAGCTGCGCGGCATATGGGTGGTCATCAGTGTGTGGAGCAGCTGGAGCACACCGCGACTCAGATTGTACGACTCCAGGCGGCTCTCGTTCTGCTCAATCTCCTCCGACAGGCTGCACTGGTTCTGGCCGGCCGCCGCCGCCGTCGTCGCTATACCCAGTGTGGGTATAATCTGTGACTCCTCCAGCAGGAACCAAATGGCACGCGCCGTGTCCTTTGATTTGGCCAGCGCTGCCAGGGTAAACATAATCTCGGCCTTGAGCACCAACGGTGCGGCACAGGCCACTAGTCCCAGGAGTACCTGTGGCGCCTGCCAGCTGGATTGATCGCACATCATCACACGGGACACGCGATCGTGTTCGGCCACCGCACGCATAATCCCCATCACAGCGACCAGATGCTCCGTTTCGCGTTGCGTTATGTTCCGGGGCTGCAGGGCACGGCGCATAAAATGTTCGCAGCTCGGGGCATTGCTGGAGACTAAAATGCTGGAGGCATCTGTTCGCATGTTGCTGTCGAGAGGGAGGGAGGGAAGGAAGGGAGGAAAGGAAAGGAATAGAGAGAATACGAAATAAAAGCTGATTGTCCCCGCCTCCGCTCACCTGTAATAGCTGGCCAATGCCTGAAAGAAATGATCCCAGCCCATCGAATAGCTCGAGGCACTCGATGGTGAATTCTTGAGCAGATTGAAGGCACTGCGTGCCGCGAGCTTGGTGCGTGTGAGGCCCGTGATCATCTTCAGATACGATTTGAACAGCGTCTGTGGCAGCAGTTCGCTGGCCAATGAAATGAACTTGAATAGGGACACGGCCCGCGAGCTATTGGACAGGGCAAAGAGGCCGGCATTGTCGTTGCTGCTGCGGTCAGGCGTTGTGCCCGTATCGCTGGCACACCAATATTCATTGCACAGACTGTAGCTGGCCCGCCGATCGCCATAGAGACGGGCCACGCACAGCATCAGCAGCTCAAAGTTTGCATCCAAATTTGGTGGCGGTTCGAGGCCTTCATTCAGGAAACTAATCACCGTGCGTGCCGACTCATCCGCCCGGTTGCGTAGCTCAGCCACTTTCGCGTGCATAAAGTCAATGAAATCGGTGATCAATAGATGCGCCCGTCGATAAATGAACTCCGTGCTGCACAAAAACGAAAGCATCACAAAGGGTTTAGGTTTAGGTTTAGGCGTCCATTGACTCGCTAACTCACTTGTAAATCATTTCATTCTCCAGCAACTGGCGATAGATGAAGCCAAACACATTGGAGGCGAGTGCCTCATCCATTAGCTGCTCATCGCGTGGTATAAGCGCACTGGCGGGCGCCTGCAGCTGGCTGGGTGCATGCCGCAGGCTGGCCAGGGCCAGGGCAAAGCTATACTTGATGATGGCATCCAGGCGCGGTGTCTGCCACTTGCCTTGGGCATACAAAGCCTCATAGAAGCCCTTGGCAAACTCCGGATCCCACATAATGGGCAGCCGTGACGTATACGGATTGACCACATCGGTGCCCAGCAGCACGGACGTATCATAGGAGTAGAGCAATGCCATTAGCATAATGACCGTCACATCATCGATATTACCGCCAGCATTTTCGTTGCATTTGCAGTCGGCCAGCATTTTCATTAGGCGTATGGCCTTGGCACGGGGCAGGCCACGTTGGGCGGCATAATTGAAGAGACTCATGGCCACAGCCTTGCGAATGTCCTCGTATAAGGCCAGCACTTGATTCTGATGCTTTGTGGAGCCAAAGGCGCGATTTTTGGTCAGCATAAGGTTCTGTCCAGAGAGGAGGGCGGGAATGCAATTAAAGAGCTGTGGGTGTGAGAGTAGGATGCTTTACCTCCTTGACCACATCCATTTCGGCGAGTATATCGAGCAGGCGACCCAACAAATTCGATTCCTCCGTCAGATTCTGCACATAATTATTAACCAACGCGAGGAACTGCCAAGAAATAGAGAGAGAAAGGGAGCACAGCCCATTAGACCATTTACTTGGAGCACAGGCAGAGTCCATGCTGTACACCTACCTCTCTGGGCAGCTCTGTCACCCAGGATACGCCGCTGATCGTCTGCATCATATCGCGCAGGGCACAGGCCATGGCCTTGCGGCCATCATAGTACAGCAAAACGGCAACCAGGCCACGCGACAGTCCCGGATGATGCATCTGCTGACGCTGGGCGGTATACAGCAGCTCCACGGCAAACAGCTCATCCAGATCGAACATATCCGACAATATGATGGCCTCATCGATCAGGTCCTGGGAGAGTACCAGCTTGTGACCCTGGGCGCCCAGCGGTATGCCTTCGTTGATGCCCGCCCTTAGCTGATTGCGGCTTTTCTCATTCTTTGGCTGAAAGTAAAAGGTACAGTCAGTCAGACAGAGGCCAGTCCCAGAGGTTATGTGGGGGGGGTGGACCCTTACCGGATTGCGTAGAAAATTGGAAAAGTTCTGTTTGTACTTCTTGAGGCACTGCTCCAGTTCGCCAATGAGATCCTTTGGCTGGGAAATCGCCTGCTGCATCGTGCCATAAAGATGCTTGTATGGCGTCCACATGTCCTCGGTCATGCCTTTGCCACACGAAAAATACACAGAGAATACAAAATTATATGTACCACCAGACATATGATGTCCCCCAGCACATACCATCCATTTTTGGCTCTTTTTCTATTTAACGTAGCAAAACAAGATATAATATAAATAAAAACGCGGTAAATTTTTGTTTTTGTGGGAATCGGTGCCGGTTTGTGTGTGACCAGTTACGGCTTCAATCGAAATCACTCGATGCTTTGCCAAAGCATTGCTGGCTTTTGTCTTAACCAAATGCGGTCACACTCCATACACAGCTGCTGGTACGCGCGGGGCGCGGCTTTTTTTATTTGTTCACACTTCTAATTTGGAGGAGGTATATTTTATATATTTTACAATGGTCACTCTTACAATTTATATTGTATATTTGTTACATTCGGCTTGCGGCTCGTGGGGCAACGCCGGCTAGCTCTCGACCCCAGGGATGGGTAGTTCCCCTTGCCCACCAAATGTAAGCAAAGTTTGAGATTTCGACTTCTCGGGACATCAATTCAGACAAAAAAAAACTACAATAGACTGCAAGACAAACAAAAAGAACCAAACAAATAGACGGCTGTCAAGTGGGTGAAGTCTAGGTGTTTCCACTTCGCGCGCCCACCCTACCTGTGGTCAAATACAACGTTCATTTTGGCCACCCTCTGCTGGAACGGCTGCGGCTGGTCTAATCCATGGCTTACGCCACGCGTCCTCCCTCTAAATTAATTTAGGCCTTCATCATTTCAATATTCCTTAGTTTAATATATAATATAATACGACAAATACATCTCCTAACTATAATTTTTCGTCCTAGATAATAAACAAAAATAATTTAAATAAATAACATAATAACAAAAAAAATACCAACTCACTTAACGACAACACTCAAATAAATACCAACTGGATTAGGAGAATATACCTATATACCTATGGGCGTTTTTATGCAGAATTAAATTGGGAAATGATTTACATTTCTTTTGGCCCTCCCGAGACTAACCTACCAAGAGCTCTTGTTAAGGGTCATAGGGGCAGATATAAACAAGGCCATCGACAACAAAAATGACCAACCAATATTTTACCAAAACGGTGGGCTTGTGGGACCCCGCGCCGCGCACAAGGGTTAATCCTACCATATGTTTTGTTTTGTGTCTATGTCGAGCAATGTTTGGCGTTTCACAAATCGGGTTTGTTTACGTTACGGTTCACTTAAACTATTAATAATAAATAACAATTAACACATATAATATGGACAACACGATGGACAATACTAATACTGTCGGGCACATATGTGTCCGTAGCGGCTTGCGAGTGAGAATAGTGATCCCAAGAAAATATATATAAACGGTGGGCGATCGTGAGTGCAATGAACTTTGCGTGCAAATATGAACGTGTAGTGTGTAAATGCGAGGGTAATGCTTGGGGTGAGCGTAGAGGTGGCTCCTGCAGAGTCCCCAGGCTCGGACTACGTGCACCACTGCGTCTGCGGCACGGTCCTTGGTCACTCTGCGCGGATCGTTCGTTTGACCTGGTTAGGCCTGCACCCCTCACAAATCTCGGTTTCATCCACGGCACACGCACAACAGACACGGAACGGACTCACAGTTAGATTTCGAAGGGTGGCTCGTCGGGCACACTGCGGTCGATCCTCTCCAGAATTTCTCTCCCACAGGTAAAATCACTGACCCGGCTGCGCTGGGCAATCTTCCGGGCCAGGCTATGGGAAATGCATAACGGATTACATTTTATTTAAATTCGAATTTTCACCACTCACTTTTTGAAAATTCCACTAATCGGGTTTAACCCCACTCGGCCTAGATTATAGTTCTGCTATTAATTAGTACCTCTGCTTCGGATGACCAGCAATTCTTATGTCCACGTTTTAGATTTTTTGCACTCCTATTTAATCCCTTTCATGTATGCCTGCCTTTACCAATACACCTAACTAATCTTATCCTCTTCCTTCTTTTCTTCAGTAACGGAATCTCGCTCTCACCGATACTGTCCTACATCATTTAGCCTCCTTGGAAAACCGATAGATGCCGCTTCGACTCAGCCCTGGACAATCTATCGCTGAGGTGGGACTGGAACACCACCACGAGTATGTCGACGGACCTTTGAAAGGACAACATACGCGTGGGCATGCCCACCGGATTAAGGGTTACTCTCGACCACATGCCGGCGTGCCTTCTTCTGCAGCGCCCAACGTAGGCCACACCCACATAAAACTAGAGCCTCAAGTCTTTTGCGTGGTAGACTCCAATGGGACGACCGTTGAGATCCTCCAGAGCATATGCGTTCTCTCCTACTGGCTTCACTACACGGCATCGGACGAAATTGCGCGCGAACTTGGCATTGAAGCATTTACCGATGTCGCTTAGGACAAAATTACGGCGGAATACCTCTTGTCCAGGCTTCGCATAAAACACCCGAGCTCTCTGGTTGTACCTCAAGCTACTACGTTTGTACGCGTGATGCAGACTATCTCGAATCCTCTCCTGAATGAGTTGTCGCTTGTCCTGACTCTCTAGCAGAGATATGTCATGCTCGCCGATGGAACGCAAACGTTTCGCCAGCTTATAGGATGACCCATGCAAATACATTTGCTGTCCGAAGACCGCAAAGAACGGAGTCACGCCTGTCGCCTCATGAACTGAGTTCCTTATGGCCAACTCTATCTCCGGAAGATGTACGTCCCAGTCCCGGTGATCGTCCTCCAAATACATACGAATCGCGCTAAGAACAGTACGATTCACACCTTCGGCTGCGTTGCTTTGTGGAGAATACACTGTCCTCAAATGGGTCACTCCAAACGCTTCGATCATCTCCCTGAACGTTTTGGAAATGAACTGAGCCCCATTGTCTGAGTGAATAGTCTCCGGCACCCCAAACTTATAAAAGACTTCATGGACGAGGAACGCCACTACATCCTTCGCTGCGGCCGCTTTCATGGTCTTCAGGAAAGTGAATTCCGAGAAGTGGTCAACCACAATGAATATCCACGCTTGACCATTCTTCGAACGCGGATATTTCCCTAAGAAATCGATGTATAGCTTTTGGAATGGACGCTCCGTGATCACCTCCTGTCCAATCCCAACCTGCATCCGGTAATTCTGCGCTCTCGACTCCTTGCAAACGTCACAACGTCGGATGTAATCGCGCACTTCCACAGCCATTTTTGGCCAGTAAAATTGCCTACGCAGAAGGTGCAACGTTTTGGCAATACCACCGTGCGCCGTCTTTTCATCGAGATGCGCCTTGTCTATCAATGTGGCCGTCAGCGAACTCGGAACCCACAATTTCCAGACAGATCCCTCCAGCTGGTCCTCTAACCTTTCAAAGCGCATGCGCTTGAATATCATTCCATCTACAATCTGAAGATCAGGTAAGCGTTCTTGATTCTCTCTGACTTCTTTCTTTAACTCCTGATATTCCTCAGACTCGAACTCCACCGTTTCGAAACCCAGAACACTGCTCGGATGCACTTCCAACTCTTCGATATTGCGCGACAATGTATCTGCCACTACATTATCCACTCCTTTTCGGTGTTCTATGCCGAAATCGAAGGCTTGCAATTGAAGAGACCACCGAGCTAAACGACCATCCAAGCTCTTCATCGTCATGAGCCATTTGAGACTGGCGTGGTCAGTAATGACTGTGAACGGCATAAGCTCGACATACGGACGGAAATTCAGAATCGCCATGAGAGCTGCCAAACACTCTTTCTCTGTCATAGAGTCGTTTATCTGGTGGCAATTCAGCTTCGCCGAGAAGAATGCAATCAGCCTCTCGTTCTGCTCATCATCGCGTTGGAAGAGTACGGCTCCTACCCCATAATGCGACGCGTCGCACTGGATGTAAAAGTGCCGCTTGAAATCTGCGTGTACGAGGACAGGTGCAGAGGTAAGTGCAGCTTTCAGCTCTCCCATTGCTCGCTTTGCCTCATCCGTCAATCTAAATCTCCTTTTCCCGACTTTTTCAAGGCATCTGTAAGTGGAACGGCTAACTCTGCAAAGTTCTTCATAAAACGCCGATACCAACCCGCAGTACCCAAGAAACTACGCAGTTCTCGGACAGATCGTGGCTCGGGAATGCGTAAAATAGCCAATACACGATCTGGATCCATCTTGAGCGTTCCTCCTCCCACTATAAAACTGAGGTATTTAATGTTTTTAAAGCAAAAATGAGATTTCCCTAACCCTATCGTCAAATTTGCCTTTCTTAGTCGCTCTGCAACCTGTAGGAGGATCTTCACGTGCTGTTCGAAGCTCTCGGATATAATCAGCAAGTCGTCGAGGTATGCATATACATTTGAACGCATCTCTACCGGAATAACCTTATCCACTAATCTACATAGGCGTTGTGCAGCGTTGCAAAGACCGAAGGGCATTATCCGGAACTGGTATAATGGTCTTCCTGGCACTGTGAAAGCAGTGTAGGCTCGGCTCGGCTCGTCCAGCTCGATTTGCCAAAATGCGAATTTTAAATCGACGCTGGAGATGTATATCGTCTGGTCGAGACGCGACAAAATCCCCTCGATGCTAGGCAGTGGATAGGCGTCCTTGATGGTCACCTTGTTGAGCTTTCGGTCATCGAGACAGAACCGATTTTTCCCCGGCCGTCGCACAACCGTAGTGCGCTTGCTCCACGGGCTATCACTGTGCTCGATGACTCCTAAAGCCAACATCTTGTCCACCTCCACAAAAACCACGTCCTGCATCGCTGGCGATAATGGATAATGTCGATCCTTTACAGGCTCGGCATTCTCCACAAGCTGGATTTTATGCGTCTCTATCGACGTCTTGCCCAGGCCTACCCCTTCAAATGTCAGAATTTCTGCCTTCACCTTATCCAAGACGATTTTCTGCTCCTCCGACAACTCCCATTCCTCCTGCACAATTTCCTTCTCCGGTCCTTCTACATAGTGAGCGACTTGGTCAGCCATCACTTCTTCTACCAATCTGTGTGATGCACCTACAGGACATTCTCCCATCACCTCAGGAGCCAATGCAAAAGCCCGCCAAAAGTCTACACCCAAGTAAATTTCCTGCTCCAAGAACGGACATAAGAAAAAGGTTAATCTCTTTATCTCTCCCTTATACTCCACAGCCAATTCCACTCGACCAACGATTGCGCGATCTTCTCCATTTGCCACCTTAACTATGGACGAATAGCGACGAGCCACTACACCCAGCTTCTCCAAGAACTCCTGGCCATTCTTGCCTAACATGCTGTGCGTAGCGCCTGAGTCCAACAACCCTCTAATGGATTCCCCCATTATCGAGATTCCAGCGAATACTCTTGGGTAGCTTTTGCTACAGCGCTGTACTGAGGCAATCACCTGTCTCCTCACCGATCGTCTCTGCTTAAACCGGGATCTTGCCTTCTTTACCCGAACTGACAGTGCTCGCATCCCATCCACCTTTAAGTCGGAAAATATTCTATTACGGACCTTTAAGTAATTCCTTAACCGCTCTTCATACGGTAAGTTCCTTAACCTAGCATGCAAACTATGTCTATCTATTTCATTATTCTTATGTTCTACTTCCAGTTCGCAGGCCCCATCTGTGAGCGTGTTTCGCCTGCTTGAATCGCGCTCTTCTTCGCGTTTCCCGCACAATTCGGACAGGTCGGACAATATGCATCGGGCTTTCCACAGCGGTAGCAGAAGATTCGCGTCTCTGCTGCCATACAGTCCCGAAAACCATGATCCGTTTTCCCGCAGTTCCAGCAAGTCAACTTTACTGGACCCCGCCTTGTCACTTGCGCCTCCTCACAGACTTATGCCTCCTCATTGCTTCTCGACAGATCCTGCGCGACCTCACTGACGTTCGCTCCTCGGCCAAAGTTGGTGGCTTTTGGTGCTCCTCGCCACGAAGATCGGGACTTCCGCTTCAAGTGTGCCTCTATTTCCACGCATTCATCACGCAGTTGGTCTATGGAGTACACTCGTAAGCCATACACGAAACTCGCTATCTCATCTGTGAGAGCCTTTTTCACTATCTTTATCATCTCGCTTTCAGGTGGTGGCGTCTCTACCCTCGAAGAAAGCTTCCTCATGGCATGAAAAAAGTCTTCCACGCTCTCGTTTGGCCGTTGCATCCGTTCCCGCAGTTCTCTCATTCGGTCGAACTCGGAAGCTGTGCCTCGGAAACGTGCAACTAAATCATCCCTCAACTCCTGCCAGTTACCACCACGATGATCCCGTACGTACTGCCAATACCATTCCCGAGCGTTTCCCGTAAGCAGATGATGTAACCCCTTCATCACCTCATCCCAGGGACATCGCATTTGCGCCTGCAGGAATTCGACTCGGAAAACGAAATCCTCTACGGTCACTTTATTGGCGTCGCCATCGAAAGTCACGTCCCACTTCTCGACTCGGCCCCACCGAGGCCACGATCGGTAATGGGACGACTGTGGATGCTGCTCCTCACGTGGGCTGCTGGTTGTTCTCCCACCGAATCTTCTATTCCCGCTACGACCCGTACCTTGCTGCCTCGTTATCGGGTTTAGCCAATTTTGAGCCCGATGATCACCCCGTCGATGCTGGTCTGCAGATGCCATCGCCCCTACTCCTGAAGACGGTTCCGGACCATTCCCATCGTGCCCCGACCGTGACAAACGTGGTTTTGGTGGCGGTATGGCCGCTTCAGTCGAACTCGACGGTTTCCTCTTCGGTATGGCTCCTCGCTGCCCTTGCTCGGTGTTGTTGTCTTCTCATTGCGTAACTGTCAGCTGTGGTGGCTGCTGTCTCATCGGCTGGAGTATCTCATTGAGTTCGCGCATCATCCCCATGAATCCCATGCGTAACTCCTCCTGCAACACCCGACTTATAGAGTCAGCCTGCGCTGCTCTATTTGTCGCTCCCGCCTGAGCCATCGCTACATTAGCTGCTGATGCCAATTCAGAAGGAAGGAATGGTGTATTCGGCCACTCTTCTGCCCTGTTCTGGACTGGCGTTCTCGGCAAACCACCCACAGCTCCCAGATCACTACGATCTTGGTCGGCCATCGCCCCGGACACTTCTCCTAACGATCCCTGTCTTTCGTGTGCTCGAGATCGCGTCGGATATGGCCGGCTGCTTACTGCTTTTGGCATTCCCACCAAAGGACCACAAAGAAAACGATTATAACAATCTAAACGAAACTAACTATATATACCTAAATAAATAAATACCCAAATAAATAACAAGCAAAATAAATAACCCCTCTGACAGCAAATAATCACGTAAATAAATAAATAATTACTTAATAAATATGCCGCCAAATAGGCTAATATTCATTTCCCCAATAAATACTTGAATAAATAAATAAATAGAATATATATCGATCGACACCTAACTAAAATTCAAAACATATATTCTCGGACAAACACACAACACAACAAAATAACCTTCAATTCTTTTCTTCACAGAATAGTTCTTTTTAGAGGAGGACACTTGACTAGCCGGGACCAACAACCGCTCCAGTTTCTGCGCTCCACTTGACAGTCGTCCTACGGATACACTACATTCACAAAACACCCCTTTTGTGTGACTTGTCGCCTACACTAGTCATCACTTTGAGTGATGGCCGATAAGCGAGAAGCCTCACGGTGCACCAGTTCAACATTCTTGTGTCTTGTCCCCGCCATCCATCCTACCGATTTGCCGTGACAGCCGATGCATCGCGGACTGTCATTACGACACCCGGGCCACAGACTCCTCACAACATCTCGGCGGACAGACAACCAAACCAAAACACGAAAGCGACTATTTACAAACAAACAGGTGAGAAACTAACTTGAACATTTACCTACATGACTTACTCTATCTTATCCCATATCACATTCTATCACAGATTTATTCGATACCACCAGGCAATGTGTCCGTCGCAAACTACCAGTTCCTTCGTGGAACAGCAGTGACTTACGTCCACTAGCGACATCGAACTGTGGCGAAACGCAACATGGAACTCGTAAGTCCTCTCACTACAGCTTTTCTACCTAACTACAACTATCTCTCCCTAGCGTTGGCCACTCCGCGCCATTAAGGGTCAGCTTTGCGCTCCCCTTAAGCCTGCAGCAGCGACTTCTGCCGGGACAGCTAAACTGCATTTCGCGAGCCGTCGTCTTCTCTACAAAAAATTTTATTTTTATTTATTTCTCCAATGCATTCCCCTCTACACGTCCAGGAGTCATTTGTTACAATGACACCTGGAGTTGCGTCAGTCCAAATGCATTGGAACAATAAATTATTGGGCGCCATTTGTTACAGCCGGCGTTGCCCCACGAGCCGCAAGCCGAATGTAACATATTTACGGCATATTTTGAAAATGACGTTTCTGAGGTTCCAGTCACACTCGACAAAACAAGTCAATTGAAATATTTATTCTTCCATATATTAATATACTTTTGAAAATGACCGCCAAACTCCATTTAGCGCACAAAATATACTGACATTTTTCGCTCTCAAATCGTTCCCATAATAGCCTTTTTACATTGCATTTAATACTGCGCATAAAAACAAAATCGCTGACTAATACAACCAGTCGGTTGTTGTTTTTGTTGTTTGGAATTGTTTTTGTTTGTGCAGCATCCGAAACAGCACAGAACCCTCTCTCTGCTGCACAGAAATTAGTTACAGTCTGAAAGTGGACTTCTGCTGGCTCCCTTTCTCCCTCTCTCCCAGCGTTGTAGTGATTAAAAACACGCCCACACTTGTCAAGGAGGGGGGTGGGGCGTATATGGGAGAGAGCACTTTTATTTACTGTTAATTAATTCGTAATGTAATCTCTTTCGAAAGTTATTTTTTTGAAATTTGTTTTTATTCAGTTTTCTTTTTCCACACATGTGTCCCACCTAAGCTGGCCCCTGCAGGCCCCCTGCTGCCCAGCATCCTGCCCCGTAACGTGGCAGGAGACTGAACTCAAAGCGCCAGCTTCTAATTTGCTGCTAAATGGAAGCGAAAACGCTTTGTTTGCAGGGCCCCCCAAAACAAAAGGAGCACAAGGATACACAAAGGGGAAAGTGCTGCAGGGACGGAAGCAGGGGGCGGGCGAGGAACTCCCTCAGGGCAGGGGGCGGCAAGAGTAACAAACCCTAGTAGGAGTTCACCGATGAAATCGATCTGTGCGACCGCTTCTCGGCTGACATGGCTCTACTCTGCATGAACGAGCACTACTCGGACGTGGAGTTTGTTGTCGAGGAGCAGCTCCTGCCGGCCCATCGCGTTATTCTCGCAGCGCTCAGCGAGTACTTCCGAGCCCTGCTCTACGGGGGCATGTCAGAGACTACACAGCGACGGATTACGCTGGAGGTATCGCTGGATCCGTTCAAAGTGCTACTCCGCTACATTTACTCTGGAACGTTCCTGCTGTCCACCTTGGACGAGGACGCCGTGATTGTCCGGCATAGCAAACCAGTACGGGTTCCAGGACCTGGAGATGACCATATCCAAATATCTGCATCAGTATCTGGCCCTCAGCAACGTGTGTATGATGCTGGATGCAGCGCGCCTCTTCAACCTGGACGAGCTGACCAATGTGTGTCGCGTTCATGGATCGCAATGCTCGCGAATTGCTGCAGCACGACTCGTTCAAAATGCTCTCCAAGGTGGGCCAGAGTCATTCAACCAGGAGACACGCACCAGTTAATCCCTAATGTATATGCATATGTAATCTTGCAGGAATCTCTAGAGGAAGTGCTGCGACGGGACTCCTTTTTTGCCGCCGAGGTGCACATCTTTCAGGCCGTTTGGAAATGGTCGTCTCGTTCGTCCGTCTGCCACTCATGAATCTCGAGGATTTGCTGCATGTGGTGCGACCCTCTAACATTCTCGAGCCGGACAAAATACTCGATGCCCTTCAAAAGAGGAGCACCTCAAAGTCGCTGCCCTACAGGGCCGCCCTGTGGCCCGATGAGAATGTTGCCACGGAAAAGCATGATTCGCATTGCATTCAGGGCGATTACCGGTCCGCCCTGCTAGACGGAGACGTCACCGACTACGACATGGAGAACGGCTACACGTGACACTCGATCACGGAAAACGAAGCCGGCATTGTCGTCGAACTGGGAACCTTCATGATAAATCACATCCGCATGCTGTTGTGGGACCGGGACAGTCGGGCCTACTCCTACTACGTGGAGGTCTCTGGCGACATGATGCACTGGGAGTACGTGGTAGACTACAGCGAGTTCCACTGCCGCTCCTGGCAGTATCTGTACTTTACGGCTCGTGCCGTCCGCTACATTCGGCTCGTGGGCACACAGAACACCGTCAATCGGGTAAGCCAGCGGCGTTTCCTTGCATCTAAAGATTCTTCTCGATTGAGGATTCCCCCTCGCCATCGGTCTCAGGTGTCTCACGTGGTCGGACTGGAGGCCATGCACACGAGCAATGTGCCTGATTTGGTCGGCCACTTTGTGGCCCCAGAGCGCAATGTGGCCACTGTCGATCTGACCGCCATTGTCACGGACGGGGTCAGCCGCACCCGCAATGCCCTCATCAACGGCGACTATGTGCGCTATGACTGGGACTCGGGATACACCTGCCACCTGCTGGGCAGCGGCGATATCGTTGTCCGCCTAGGGAAGCCCTATCACGTGGGATCGATGCGTCTGCTGCTGTTAGACTGCGACGATCGCACCTACAGCTTCTACATTGAGACCTCGACGAATCGTCGCGACTGGCAAATAGTGGTGGACCGGCGCAATGACAAGGTTCGCTCATGGCAGAAATTTCACTTCACGCCCCGGCCCGTTGTCTTCATACGGATTGTGGGCACCAGAAATACCGCGAATGAGGTAAGCAATTGTCTATCCGTTGGCTTGGCCGGTGCCGCGAATCAACTCATGACTAGTCCCAAATACAGATATTCCACTGCGTCCATCTCGAGTGCCCCTCGCAGGACAAGAGCTATCTCAAGGAAAAGGAGAAGGAAAAGGAGTTTGCACGAGAGCGTGAACGGGAACGCAAACGAGATATGGGAAATCTGCTCAAGCCGATTACCCCAACTGATGACAACATTGCCTCCACCTCAGCGTCAGCTATAGCCGCCCTTGCAGCTATCGGCTCATCAGCGGCGGATGAGCCCAACGAGAACGAGCTCAAAACGAAAATCCCTTTTTCGACGCAGCCAGCTGATGCACTGCTCGATGTTCCATCGAAAGCGAAGGCGGAGGCACAGCTTGAACCAGACACACCAGACAAAGTCTCCTCAGCGCCGCCTTCCCCTGTAACAACATCCACACCTGCAGAAGCACAAGCTGAACCACCTCTACGGCAGGAGAAGGACAAGGAAAAGGAGAAAGAAAAGGAGCAGGCTGCACTGCCCCAACCTGATGTTGAGTCTGTGCCAACACCCCTCCTGGTCGAGCTGGAGACAAATGAACCAGCAGCAGCAGCAACAGCAGCAGAAGCAGCAGCGGTCCTTCATCCCCAGCGACGCTAAGTGCTGAGGGCTGCTGCAGTACTTTGTTTCATGAGTGTCCGCCACTCTAAATACTCCTGTGGTCAAATTGTAATTGTTTTAGACGTAGACGTAGACCCCTTACACCCAATGCTCCCATTGCACCCATTGCAGAGTGTGTCCTTGTGAGCCGTCTTCAGTTTAGTTGCAATCCTGCACCGTATTTGCATCGCCGTATTTGTTATCTAGTCCTTCCCAGTGCCGCCAACCCAAGACACGTTCGAAACATTCACATCGCTAATTGTTGTTTTACCTATGTATGTACGTTTTACGCGTATTTAACTTGTTTTAAAAATGGTTTTTTCCAATACTTAATTGGATTGGAGCTCCCTTTGTTTGCCAGGCATCAGACACATTTTTTATACCCGTACTCAAAAAAGAGTTAAGGGGTATATTAGATTTGTGGTAAGAGTGGATGTGTGTAACGCAGAGAAGGAAACGTTTCCGACCCCATAAAGTATATATATTCTTGATCAGCATCAATAGCCGAGTCGATAGAGCCATGTCTGTCTGTCCGTCTGTCCGTCTGTCTGTCTGTCCGTCTTGTTGAGCGCCTAGATCTCAGAGACTATAAAAGCTAGGGCAACCAAATTTGGTTTCCACACTCATGTGATATCACACTGCTACAAGTGTATTTCAAAATTTCACCCCGCCCCCTTCCGCCCCCACAAAAGACGAAAATCTGTGGCAGGCACATTTTTAAAGATACGATAAAACTAGAAACGCAGTATCGTAGAGAATGCCCATCGCTACCAGACTGCCGAATCTGAATCAGATCGGATCATAATTATAGCCAGAATGAAGAAATTAATTTTCCGTTGCTTCCCCTGTCCCCCTCCCGACGACGACAACGAAACTCATTTTCCTTCTCGCTCGCACACTCTGCCGCGTTCAGTGCGCGAGCAACCCCTAGCGGAGGAGATGTAGAATCTAAATGGAGCATGTACATTGTACAATCTACATGTTAGATGTAGAATATACATTGTAGATGTAGATGTAGATATCAGATGTAGCAAAAAATGTAAAATGTTTTTTTTTTCTAAAATTCTAAAAAATCATAAGATTAAAAATGTATATACTGACTGAGTACGGGTATAAGTAGAGTCGCGTCCCCAGAAGCGACTCGCACGTTCCTTCTCGTTTTCATAAGTTTTACCACTTAATTGTACAGAATTGTATACGATATGCATCCCGGGGCATCCCAACCGATTCGCGATCCGGGATACGGATGTGCCGCTACACATACCAAATTTTATGAAAATTTTAAATATTCAAAAAATATCAACTGCACTTCGCATTAAGGTAATCAGGGCGGATGATGAAACGACAGAGAGCACAAAGAATCCATTGCGAATGCGACTGCGTTTGCCACCATTCAGGCAAAAGCAACGAAGGACAAACCTCAGTGACCCCACACCACAGCACCACCCACAGCCCACCAAATGAGGTCAAAGCAAAGGGCAAAAGAGGAAGGGGCGTGGGGGCTTGGAAGTGCTAAGGTCTGGCGGAGGTGATGGAGGGCGTGCAATTCCTCACAACTTACAAGCGATTCCACCCACTGCACTGAACTGAATGGGCAGAGCAACAACTGGGGCAGCGATCTATAACTAATGATCGTTGATAAATAATTTTGTACCGGGAGTCCCCCACTAATTGGACCCCCTTTGCATACAGTTGCAGTCTCAGTGCCCTTATTTCCATGGCAATTCTCTGCTCAATGCCATTTAGTGCCGAGCTTTCGCCAAGCAATCGCTGCTAATAAAAACCCCAAAAAGCAGCCATGCGCCAAAGCACAAATATTATTTTACCACAAACACACTCACACACACAAACTGTACCCTTATGCAATGTATACATATAGCTATGTGCGTGTGTGTGTGTGTTTAGATATCCATTGCGGATATGGCAAACATTTGCGTAACGAAACCCCGCACCCCGCACACATGACGGGATCCATGCTCTCTGTCCGGCCTCTCTCTCCTGCGTCGCTCCACTGGCCTAACAATTTCCTCAGACCTCTTGCAGATCTTTTAGAGAATGGCCAACTATAATGGAGAATTAACATCTTGATGATGATATATCCTCTGTATGCTCATTAACTATAATGATCCATTCACAAATGTCTATCCCATTTAATTGGCTATTTAAATTTGTATGAGGCTTTTCCTCAACTTTGCTTCCATGTCTTATATTGTGCCCACTGTGCTCCTCCTCCCACTCGGCCACGTGCATCCATGCATTCCATTACGCCTGCCATGACCCCCCACAACCAAAGAGCAGATAACCGGATTAGACCGGCAAGGCAAGGCAATGCAAACCACAACAGCAACTCTCCACTTCATCAGTGTGGCCAGGGAGGGCCCCGACTGTTGACAAACGTAAAACCCGTACTGGTTTGCTATGCCGAGGACGTCAATCACGGCGTCCTCGTCCAAGGTGGACAGCAGCAACGTTACAGAGTAAATGTACCGGAGTAGCACCTTGAACGGATCCAGCGACACCTCCAGCGTAATCAGTCGTTGTGTCGTCTCTGACAGAGCAGGGCTCGGAAGTACTCGCTGCGCGCTGCGAGAATGACGCGATGGGCCGGCAGGAGCTGCTCCTCGACAACAAACTCCACGTCCGAGTAGTGCTCGTTCATGCAGAGTAGAGCCATGTCAGCCGAGAAGCGGTCGCACAGATCGATTTCATCGGTGAACTCCTGCTCGGGTTTGTTACTCTTCCCAGTGGAGGACGACGATCTATGCATCTTGTGGTGTCCCTGGCTGCTCATTCCGTCGCTGGGAGCCTATGTGTGGGCCGAAGTCTGTTAGTGTGTGTGTGTTGTATAACTGCACGAGTGTGAGTGAAGTAAGGAACTGTTAACAAATGACGCCGCGCGACAATTATGGCTTTTTTACTACGTAGATTATGTAGATTGTACGCCTTGCCACCGCTTTCAGGCGAAAAAAAATATTTTTTTAGAGTATTTTAATTGAGCCCAGGGATGTATGTTGAATATATATTGACAAATTGATATATATTTATATTTTTGATATAGATATTTTTGTGCGATATTTTTCAAATGCAGTTTTAATTTTCAAATTTGGTATTTCAAACCGAAAAAAATCAACAACAATACAAAGAAAAAAAACTTCATGCAGGACAACATGGCCCTGCAGGCCGCAGAGACACGCAAGAGGCTGGAGGAGGAGCAGAAACGTGCGGGCATCATGGAGCAGCAGCTGAAGCGAGCCTGTCAGGAGAAGCAGCAATCGCAGGATCTACTGGCGGACACGCAGGTGAAACGCCGGAGTCTGGAGAGCCGCCTCGATAAACTGCGCGAGAAGAAGAAGTGGGCGGAGCAGTGCAATACCCAGCTTGAGTCCAAGCTGCAGCAGAGCCCAGAGTCGATGCCAGCAGCTGGAGCCAGAGAACGTGCGCCAGCAGCAGTACATCAAGCAGCTGGAGGCCAGGCGGGCGACCTTGGAGCACAGCCATGCCCAGCTGAACAAGGAGCTGCTCCTGCTGCGTAATCAGGAGCAGGAGGCACTACGTACCGTGGCCACATTGAGTGAGGAGAAAACGCGACAGCAGCTGCGCCTTGTGCAAATGGAAAAGGAATGGGGCGCAGTGAAACAAAATTTGGCCACAAACTATTCGCAGCAACAGCAGAAAATTAATCCGTTGATAAACGAATGGGATGCGCTGCTGTCCACGAAGCGGGAGACAGCGGATGCGCTGCGCCTGGAGCTGGATCGGCACCAAGACCTCTTGGTAGCTGCCCAAACGGAGGTGGATCGACTGACCATCCTGCACGCAGAGACCTCACTCGAGAAGGATGTGCTCAGCTACGAGCTGCAGGAGCAGCGCGAACAATTCGCCAAGCTCGAGCAAAGACTACAGAGCGTCCAGTTCAATGCAGAGCAGCAGGCCAAAAAGCAGGCGAAATGTGAGCCAGAGAACTGCAGTAGTGCTGAGATGCAAATGAGCAGGCTGCAGAAGATCAACAAGAGGCAGGCGAAAATCCTAAAGGAACACTATGTGGATGTGGACAAGGCGAAGCTCTTCGATGTCGAGCTGCAACTTGACGATTCCCTCACGCTGCAGAGCCTCTGCGCCCGCACCACAACTGTGGACATTTCCACCACGCAGCAGAGTCTGCTCACGGGGCTCAAGGGGAATGCCGAGCAATTAAAGGCGTTTATCAAGCAGCAAGAAAAGCAGGTAAAGCAGGGCGCCAGTAGTGATGCCACGCCCACCCATTCGAACATGAAACATTTTGGCTGAATTTTCTGCAATTATTTTTGGTTTTTGTTTAGATTAAATCAGCCAACCATTGGCTGATCAGAGATCAATGTCTTTTCTTGTATTGAGTGCAGCTGAGTCTTCAGTCGAGAGGTATAGAAGGCCGGCTACTAGGCCCAGTCCGATATATCGTTGGGCCACGCTTAAGTAAGCTTTTCGACTACGAGTATACACCATTATCTCAAGTATTATCGGAGTATTAGCCAACTATTCCTAGCTATGTGATGTTTGAAGTGAGGGATTTTTGGGACGTTTTTTTTTTCATTTGCAACCATCTGTCATCTGGCTAAAGTAAGCTGCTGTACGTTAAGTATTTGTCTGTGATTATTGCTTACAATGAAAAAAAAAAACCCAAATCACACGCTTCTTGGCTACACTTGGAAGCCCAGCAGGCTGGCCAGTAGCCTTGAGCAACAAATTCGACTGGGAATATTCAGTTAGTCAGATTCGTTGACCGAATCCACAACCTAGAGTCTACGTTTTTTCAAGTACAAAATGGAAGTGGTACGAAATAAATTTAAAATAAGATTAAATTCGTATTAAATAATTTTTAACACTTTCGTAGCAAATGAGCGACACGAGCGGACAACCGGGCAAGAGTCCGGCGCCCACGGCTAAGCCAGAAGGCAGCGAGTTGCTGGATGAAGGGTCCAAGGATGAAGGGTCCAAGGACGTTTTCTTTGACTTGGAGGATGAAGATGAGGGGACCACCAGCAATTCGACAAGCCATTCGCTGTCGGATATATGGGAGCAGGGATTCCAGGAGCAGGCACAGATACACAAGCTCAAGAATATGCTAAAATCGAAGTCGCACGAGCAGGACAACATGGCCCAGCAGGCCGCAGAGACACGCAAGAAGCTGGAGGAGGAGCAGACACGTGTGGGCAGCATGGAGCAGCAGCTGAAGCGAGCCTGTCAGGAGAAGCAGCAATCGCAGGATCTACTGGCGGACACGCAGGTGAAACGCCGGAGTCTGGAGAGCCGCCTCGTTAAACTGCGCGAGAAGAAGAAGTGGGCGGAGCAGTGCAATACCCAGCTTGAGTCCAAGCTGCAGCAGACCCTCATCCAGTGCAAGCAGCTCAAATGAAAATGCGCCCATAGCGGCGAGCTGCTGGATATGAAACAGATCGACTTCGATAAAATCACAAAGCGTTACAACGTCCTGGAGTCGGACTTTGAGGCCATGGTGTTGGAGAAGGAGGTCAAGATACATGAGTTGAAGGGCTCGCTCGAACTGGCCCAGATTCGATGCCAGCAGCTGGAGCCAGAGAACGTGCGCCAGCAGCAGTACATCAAGCAGCTGGAGGCCAGGCGGGCGACCTTGGAGCACAGCCATGCCCAGCTGAACAAGGAGCTGCTCCTGCTGCGTGATCAGGAGCAGGAGGCACTACGTACCGTGGCCACATTGAGTGAGGAGAAAACGCGACAGCAGCTGCGCCTTGTGCAAATGGAAGAGGAATGGGGCGCAGTGAAACAACATTTGGCCACAAACTATTCGCAGCTACAGCAGAAAATTAATCCGTTGATAAACGAACGGGATGCGCTGCGGGATGCGCTGCAGGAGCAGCGCGAACAATTCGCCAAGCTCGAGCAAATACTACAGAGCGTCCAGTTCAATGCAGAGCAGCAGGCCAAAAAGCAGGCGAAATGTGAGCCAGAGAACTGCAGTAGCTGTGCGGAGAAGTTGGCTGAAACTGGAGTGCTGAGATTCAAATGAGCAGGCTGCAGAAGATCAACAAGAGGCAGGCGAAAATCCTAAAGGAACACTATGTGGATGTGGACAAGGCGAATCTCTTCGATGTCGAGCTGCAACCTGACGATTCCCTCACGCTGCAGAGCCTCTGCGCCCGCACCGCAACTGTGGACATTTCCACCACGCAGCAGAGTCTGCTCACGGGGCTCAAGGATAATGCCGAGGAATTCATGGCGTTTATCAAGCAGCAGGAAAAGCAGGGCGCCAGTAGTGATGCCACGCCTACCCATTCGAACATGAAACATTTTGGCTGAATTTTCTGCAATTATTTTTGGTTTTTGTTTAGATTAATTCAGACAACCATTGGCTGATCAGAGATCAATGTCTTTTCTTGTATTGAGTGCAGCTGAGTTTTCAGTCGAGAGGTATAGCAGGCCGGCTACTAGGCCCAGTCTGATATATCGTGGGGCCACGCTTAAGTAAGCTTTTCGGCTACGAGTATACACCATTATCTCAAGTATTATCGGAGTATTAGCCAACTATTCCTAGCTATGTGATGTTTGAAGTTGTGAGGAATTTTTGGGACTTTTTATACCCGTACTCAAAAAAGAGTTAAGGGGTTTATTAGATTTGTGGTAAAAGTGGATGTGTGTAACGCAGAGAAGGAAACGTTTCCGACCCCATAAAGTATATATATTCTTGATCAGCATCAATAGCCGAGTCGATATAGCCATGTCTGTCTGTCTGTCCGTCCGTACGTCCGTCCGTCCGTCCGTCTGTCCGTCTTGATGAGCGCCTAGATCTCAGAGACTATAAGAGCTAGAGCAACCAAATTTTGTTTCCAGACTCATGTAATATCACACTGCTACAAGTGTATTTCAAAATTTCGCCCCGCCCCCTTCCGCCCCCATAAAGGACGAAAATCTGTGGCAGGCACAATTTTAAAGATACGATAAAACTAAAAACGCAGTATCGTAGAAAATAACATATCTACTAGATTGCCGAATCTGAATCAGATCGGATCATAATTATAGCCAGAATGAAGAAATGAATTTTCTGTTGGTTCCCTCTCCTTCTCCAGCGCTGCTGACGCTACTGATTCTCTTTCTCGCTCGCACACTCTGCCGCGTTCAGGCGCGAGCAACCCTAAGCGGAGGAGATGTAGAATATAAATGGTACATGTACAATCTACATGTTAGATGTGGAATATACATTGTAGATTTAGATGTAGATAACAGATGTAGCAAAAATGTAAAATTTTTTTTTTTAAATTCTAAAAAATCATTAGCTCAAAAATGTATATACAGACTGAGTACGGGTATAAGTAGAGTCGCGTCCCCAGAAGCGACTCACACGTTCCTTCTCGTTTTTTCTAAAATTCTAAAAAATCATAAGCTCAATAATGTATATACTGACTGAGTACAGGTATAAGTAGAGTCGTGTCCCCAGAAACGACTCACACGTTCCTTCTCGTTTTTTTTCATTTGCAACCATCTGTCATCTGGCTAAAGTATCTGGCAGTATGCCTCAGCAACGGAAACTCACCAGAACTTTCTTTATTTCTTTCTTTTGGCTGTGCAGGCGGCTTAAGTTAGCTGAAATATGTAGATCGGGGCGTGGGAGAAGCTGAGGACAGTCGTGGCAGGTCGAGGCTGATTTATTTAAAGTTTATAATTGTTAATGTGTGTTCCTGTGTGTGTGTGATTTGGTATGCATACGGTACCATAAACCGTTTACAAATTTGTCGTCGCAACTAGAACTTGAACCAGTTGGACTGCGGAGAAGGTTTCCTACGTAGAGCAAATGAGGGTCTGAAGACACGGCGACAGCCTCTGTTGATTGCAGTTGTAGAGAATGAGTGAACAGGCAGTGATGGTACTGTTTCTGATACTGATTTTATTCAACAAACTTAAATTCTATTTATAGGTGACAAAAGGTACAGAAAAAGCTGAGTCTAGTAAGAATATGGTAAAAGGGAATTGGAATTAATATTGAATTAATTTGGATTTAATATGATATTGTGTTATTGGGCAATTGTGATAGTCAGCAAGTGCACCAGTATTTTTGGCCTCTGAAGAGCGATCGCATCGTTGGCAGAATTGCTGCAGAAGCGGTTATTGTTGACTCAGCTAAAATGCTTTGTCGTTTGTTATTATGTCTCCCGTTACATGGGTCGACCTGACTTATTCGATAAGTGTATACTATGTAATATTAATTAATGCATAAATATGCGACTGAACATTCTCCCGGCCGTTGAACTGGTGTTCAACCGTCGCCCAAGTCGACTGAAAAGTGTTGTGGAATGGGGATCGGGGGTGATGATCCGTGTGGGTCTGCTTGGTTGATTGTTGACTGCCTTGGGTTCCATGATTGATACTTCTTCCGGAGAATGAACGCAATAATCAATAGCATTGATATTGCTAGGGCAGCATAAGTAGCGATTTGATGATGCTGCACTGTGTTGAGATGGTGTGGCAGCCTTTGTTGATTGATTGCCACTAATTGCAGGCGTAAGTCTTCCAATTCTTGAAGATAGTCTGGTGTCTGGTTCTCCAATTGTACAGTTGCTGGCGAAGGGGGTGTCGTTGGTAAGCGTATGTCCCCAAATCGAGTGTAGGTTGATTTGACTTCACTGATTGTTGTGCTGAAGGTACTGATGCTTATTTCTGTATTGCGAGCAGTGCATCTAGGTGACAGTGAGAGTAAGCCAGTTCCTTCCAGTTGTATGGTTGACGGAGATACGTTGCAAACTGCCTGAAGTCGTGTGTTGAAGAGTGTGTTGCAAAAATCCATTTATTTGCTTGCTGAGTTTTGGACCACACCATGTCCGCCTTCGTGTGGGTCACTTCACATAAAGGTGCTGTTTTATTGTTAAACAACTGAAACTCACAGCGATTGTCGACATTGAAGACTGTTTGATGATCAAAGCATGCGTTGAGTAGTTTAAAACAGCGTCGAAATTATTCTGGAGTAGATCCCATGAATTGATCTCGGTGAGTGTTCACAGTGATTATGGTCGTTTTGAGATTAAACAAGCTCCAACTTGTTGAGTCCCAGACCGGAATCGGCATGATACTGAAAACTTCGAGCTGAACTGTTGAAACTAACGGTAGTGTCACCTTGAAAATGACGTGTGTGGCAGTCAGTGTTCCTTCGACTCGCATGAGCTTGTATAATTGTATCACATTTTGTGTTGTGACAGGCAGCATTTTATCAGCTGGCAAGTGATCCCGGATTTGGACTAGTTGCTCTCTTAATTGCTCAGGAGATACTAGCGTTGGGCTTATTTTCCGATGGTGAATGCCGATTAATACATCAGATATGTAAGACTGCAAACGTTGTCAGCAGAGTTAGTTGTGCTGTGAGCCCTAGGTATGACTGAATTAGATTTCTCGACTGATGGTTGCCACTTGTTATTCCAATACCTTTAGGCGGTTGTCTATGGCTGACTTATCCTTCCTGATCACGTTCATTGTGGAGTCGACAATTGACGTTTGATTTCGTAGTAGATGTAGCAGAAAGTCTTCGTTGGTTTGTACCTTTTCGATTACTTTGGAAATTTTCTCAGCAAATGTAGAGTCAAGTACACCGAAAAGCTCGTGTGCCACGTTTTCCAGCGGTGATCTGCGTTGTCGAGAGGCCTTCATTAGCATATTTCCTGTTTGTAGTTCTTTGTACAAATGTTGAAAGTGTTGAAATATGGAGTTGCACGCTGGGACATTTTTTAGTTCAGGGCACATGTGTCTTAGTTCGGACATTCCGGCTGACATGACTTGCATATCCTTCCAATATGGATCCAAGTCGTAGTATACAATCATGGTCATTCTTAAGGTTCCAAGTTTCTCATAGAATATTGTTTGCAAATTGCGTCACATTTATTGATTGTGAAAATGCTAATGGCAGCAAGAGAAGTGCTACCTCCTCTGAGAATAATGGGGCGAGACGACTGATGGGGCGTTTGTATACACCGGACGATGTTTTGACATCAACCACTCGTGCATGGTTGTCTTGCCCAGGATAAGTTTTGATTATGCGACCCATTGGCCACTTCATTACTGGAAGGTTGTCTTCCTTCACCAAAACTAATAATCCTTCGGTCACGTTTGGAGCGGTGGTTTTCCATTTATGCCGAGTTTGTAGTTCGTGGAGGTATTCCGTAGACCTTTTTTTCCAAAATGCATGTTTTAAGTGTGAAACCAATTCCCAGCGCTTTACCAGAGTTTTCTTTTGACGATCAGTGTTGACGTCAGGTGCTGCGGTCAAAGGTTCGCTGATCAGGAATTGCCCTGGAGTAAGCGCACATGTATCCGTTGGATCATTTGACATTGGAGTTATGGGTCGGGAGTTGAGAATCGCTTCAATTTCGATTATGACTGTGTTCAGCTCCTCAAACGTCAAGGATGCTGTTTCTGTGGTTGTAATTAACAGCCTTTTCGCTGATTTTACTTCAGCTTCCCAGAGGCCGCCAAACGATGGGGCCCGAGGAGGAATGAATTTAAAATCCACTTGTTTTTTGTTGCAATGATTTGTGATCAGAGCATATGCCTTTTCGCTAAATATTGCTTCTTTCAATTCCTTTAGCTTATTATTTGCGCCGACGAAATTTGTTGCGTTGTCGCAATGAATAGTCTGACACTTCCCGCGTCTGCTAAGGAATCGCCGGAGTGCTGCCAAGAATGCATCTGTGGTTAAGTCACTTACTAACTCCAGATGTACAGCCTTTGTGGAGAAGCAGCAGAATACGGCAATGTTTGCCTTATCTGGCCGTTTTCCTCGGATTTTATGGTGGATCATAATTGGTCCAAAGTAGTCAACGCCTGCATTTAGGAATGGGCGTGCTT